AGCTGTTTTTCAAAGATCTTATTCAGAAATATTTAGGATGTGTTTTTTGGCTTTGTTTCTGTGACTAATTTCCCTAAAACTTACTAACCACACATAATCTTTATTATTTTTTATACATAAAGCATATACATCTATCTTTGTTAAATATCTCTGTAGTCCAGTTTCTGCTGAATTAAATAAAATTACAGGACAGCCAAGGCTATGTCAGATGCATATGCAAAGACCACAAAATCATGTTTCAGACCCTAGAGGGATAACTAATTACACTAATCAGTCAAAATTGTGAGTTAGACAATATGAACATCTGTAATCAAGAGGTCAACTAGAGCACAGGGAAATTATCTGTTTTGATCAGTTCACCGGGGTTCCTTCAATTCTGTTTTTGTTTGGGTCCAACACAACTGCCTCTGTGGCTCAGTGGTTCACTCACCAGTCTCCACACTAGAGACTCGGGTTTAAGACCCATCCGTGACAGAAAAACCAAGTCAGACATGGACTCAGAGACACTTAGTGCCAAAGATCTGTTAGCAGTGATTGCCAGTCATGAAAATTTATTCCAGCACCATGAGGAGGTCTTTCATCATTAAGAGGAGTTAATGACAAAACAGCTCCTTGCTACTGTCATGTCCTCCATTCGGCAGCTCTTTGAAAGTCTCCCTGTTGCTTCTCCTTCTGCACTACCTTTGAGTACCAACAGCCCTCTCAAAGCTCCAGTAACTACTGCAGAGCCCTGACTTCCACCCCCCACCCCCAAACTATTCTCTGGAGGTCCTAGTTCCTGTCTGCACCTAGTTCTCTCTTACTTTTGAGCTTCAGCCCTCAAGTTTTCCCACTGACCGCTTAAAAATTGCTCATATTATTACCCTGCTGACTGACAAGGCGTTTGGCCTCTTGGGCCTTTGCGGTGTGGCAGTCCCAGACTAGTTGTTGCAAGTCAAACACAGCCTTTGAGAAGAAGTTCAAGCAGGTCTTTAATTATCCAGTTAGTAGACAGGAGGTTTCCAAATGTCTGCTTACTCTGTCAAGATCCTTGCAGCACTGCAGACTTTGCCACTGAGTTTCGGATGGTCTGCTTTCAGGGAGAATAAGCTAAATCTCTTCAAGATAAATTGGCCACCCGGGAACCAGCCAAAGACCTTGAATCTCTTATTGATATGGCCATTCGCTTTGATAATCACCTGAGAGAACAGAGTATGACTTGAGGCAGACCAGAAGTCTCAAGCTTCTGATTGCAAACCTGTATCTCCAGTTCATGCCCCACCAGTCAGATACTTCCAGTCAATGAACAGGCTCCCAACCCTCCAGAAGACATGCAGCTAGGTTGTTCCAGACTCTCTCCCAGTGAAAGGGAACGATGCATTAGGGAGCATTGATGCCTTTACTGTGGTACGTGTGTTCTTTTTCGGTCCACTTGTCCGGAACTGTTGGAAATACTCCTGCCAAAATCATTTAGCACTTCAAGCCATTATTTCCTGGGAGCGCCACCCGCTTCCAGGCAATGATTGATTTAGGTGCCGCAGGTAATTTCATAGATCTGTCCTTGGCCAAGACACTTAAGATCCCTACCCACCTTCCCCCTCATCCCCATGCAGTAACTGCATTGAAAAACAGACCCCAAGAACCATTCCAGGTTCCCTTCTAGGTTGGAGTCCCTCTTTTCACTCCACCTGTTAAACCTAGATCGCCTCATCTCGAGCCTTAGGAGTCTGTAGACCTATATCAAATTCCCACTGTCCATCATCAGTTTAAGGCAGAGTTCAGTAAGTCTCGAGCTACCTCTTTGCCACCTTACCACCCATACGATTGTGCAATTGACCTTCACCCTGGTTCTTGTCCTCCCAGAGGCAGTCTTCTTTTTATCTCCCCCTGAATAGGCTGCTATGAATGCTTTCATCAAGGAGTCCCTGGCAACTGGCATCTTCCAAGCCTCCACTTCCCCTGCTGGTGCTGCATTCTTTTTTTGTGGGGAAGGAGGATGGGGGGCTTAGGCCATGTATCAATTACTGAGGTCTCAACAAGATAAGTGCTCGGAATCCATATCCCCTGCCTTTTATGGCTACTGCTTTTAAACTGCTGCAAAGAGCTTGCATTTATACTAAGGTGGACTTTTACAAGGCCTACCAACTGGTGCAGATACAGCAAAGAGACGAATGGAAGACAGCCTTTAACACCCCCACAGGCCACTATGATAATTTGGTGATGCCTTTCGGGCTTACCAATGCCCCTGCCGTGTTCCAGGCACTTATCAACGATGTCCTCCAAGACATGTTAAATGTATTTGCATCTGTTTTACTGGATGATATACTGATATTTTTCAAGTCAGTGGAGGAGCACGAGGGGCATGTCAGCAGGGTTCTCCAAAGACTGCTTGAAAATAATCTTTTTGTCAAGCCAGACAAATGTGAGTGTCATGTAGCTCAGACTAAGTTTCTTGAGTACATTGTCATCAATGGTCACCTGGAAATGGACCATATTAAGATTAAGGCTGTTCTCAACTGCCCTATTCCAACCACAGTTAAAGAGGTCCAACGGTTTATGGGATTTGCAAACTTTTACAGGAAGTTTATCAGAAATTTTATCTTGGTCGTGGCTCCCTTGAAAGCGCAGACAAAGAGAGGAGTCGAGATTGACTGGGATCCTGAAGCAGCTGGTGGCTTCCAGGATCTTAAGTATCGATTCTCCTCAGCTCCCATTCTCTCTATACCAAGACCCTTTGTGGTGGAGGTGGATGCCTCAGAAGTAGGTGTAGAAGCAATCTTATCACAGAGGAATAAAGATGGAAGAATACACCCCTGTGTTTTTTATGTTGTGTCACCTGTCTGATGCTGAGCGCAACTACCATGTGGGCGATCGAGAGCTGCTCGCTGTAAAATTCCCCTTGGGGGAGTGGTGTCATTTGCTTGAGGGTGCTTAACATCCTTTCCAGGTTATAGCAGACAATAAGATCCTGGAATATCTCCAGCAGGCCAAACAACTGAACCCTTTGCAGGCTGGATGGTCTCTGTTTTTTAACAGATTTTAGTTAATCCTGACTTATAGACCCAGTTTCAAGAATCTCAAGCTAGACAACTTGTCCAGCGCCTGCTATCCCGAAACTCAGGTAAAACCTGTGTCTTCCATTATTCCTACTAGTTCAAGGATTGTTGCTCCCCTTAGATTGGATCTGGAACAAGTAGTCTGTAAGGCCCAAACCAAGCAACCTGATCCAGGCAGTGGGCCATTGGGTGCTCTGTATGTCCTTTGATCAGCACAAGCCCATAACTTGCAGTGGGGTCATGAGTCCCCATTGACCTGCCACCCAGGTAGCATCTGGAAATCCTCCTGGAAAACCATTTAGCACTTCAAGCCATAATTTCCTGGGAGAGCCACCCGCTTCTAGACAATGATTGATTTAGGTGCCACAGGTAATTTCATAGATCTGCCAAGTATGTTGCCATGGAAAATCATCAAGCAGCAACCTAAGGGACTGCTCCATCCCTTGGCCTTGGTCACACCTCTCCCTGGATTTCATTACGAGACTTCCACCCTCCCAGGGCAACAATGTCATATTGGTGGTGGTGGACTGATTTTCTAAGGCTGCTCGGTTCATTCGCCTGCTCAAGTTACCATTAGCCAAGGAGAAGGCTGAGCTCACAATGAGCCATGTTTTCAGAGTATTTGGCATCCCCTAGGATTGTGTATCTGACTGAGGCCCACAATTTTTGTCTAGGTTCTGGGGGGGCTCTTTTCTGACTCTTTGGGGCCACTGCCAGCCTATCATTTGGGTTCCATTCGACCCAATAGTCAGACCGAACAAGTTAACCAACGCTCTCTACGGTGAATGGCAGTCAACAACAACACCACTTGGTCTCTGATTTACTCAAATTAGATTCAGACCTTGGTTATATGTGGAAATTTATCCGATATGAATTGGATCTGTGTTCTCGTGTCTGCAGTGTAAGCGGGTAGATCGGATTTTCACCTGTCAATGCGAGTCGCGTGTCATTAAAAACGTAGCAAATTACGTCAAGTCTGACGCTTTTACTTTAGAACAGACTTCAGCAGAGTCCCAAACCTTAAATCTCATACACAAGGACTTTAACAGCTTTAATATTGTCATATACCACATGTATTTAAGCATGTAACGAGAGCAAGAGAGTGCAATGTCTGCCATGTAACCAATATAAACTAATATAAAACTGTTGCATACATCCCGTGCATAAATCACACCATGGACATTACATTAAGATGCCTAAAAGTTTTAAGAAAGCCAATATATCAAAAGAAGATGGACAAATGAGAACCTTTCTGTCATAAAAAATATAGTAAAACAGCTTGTCTGCTTGCTGCTCTATTGTTTCTTTGGGCGTACTCTCACTATGTACAGTTGACTTAAACCAGGCCAAAACACGCTTGTCCCCCCTCCCGTCTCCCCCGATGGCCCGCACTCGCATTACATTCGAGCCTTGGCACGCTTACATCATCGATGATGCGTTGGTCAGAAACGCTCTCGCTCAGCACAGTGGAGATTTCTTCAGTTATATCGTCATTGAAGTCATTTGATATGCAGTGACATGCAGTCACAAATTTCGCTGAACAGTAACTATGACAGTTTGCGTTCATTGAACAGGAAGAATGATTAATAAACGCATTTGAAACAATCACGTCTCTCTTTTAATTTTAGTTTTTGCCTGAACCCGATACAGAGCACTCACACTTCTCAAACGATCTGGGAAACGGGCCTGGGCACAGTTCGGATAGCATAGTGTGAGTAGGCCCTTTGCGGTCTTCCCTCGTGGAGTTTTCTTTCTATGCTTAATATACTGTTAAAATATTTTATATACGTAATTCTAAGAAGAACCTAAGTTGTTTGTTTTGCCACCTCATATTTGAAAAGAATCCGAGTTGTTAAAATAAATCCTTGTTTTCTGGATCCCTACTTGGAGTGTTTTTGTTTGGGTCCAACACAACTACTCCTTTGGCTCAGTGGTTCACCAGTCTCCACACCAGAGACACAATACTTAAATGTTTTGTATGTTTTAATGCAATTAATTGGTTTAAATGCTTATGCACACATATTAAAAGAAGTAAGTGATATTACAGTTCGGACAGAGGAACAAGACTCATGTTTATTATGATTATTGCATTTTTGCATATAAATATAGAATACACTGCATCTACAAACAAATTTGTTTAACAAGGATTTTGTCAATGCAGAGAATATTCTTCTGTTCAACATTTACATTTCAGTCAATACTGTCTTTACAAAACATTCTCCCTTTTTTCCATTGAACAAATAAATCAACATTAGCATTTCTATCTATTGGCTTAGTCTCTAACATGAGCCAAAGCTTCACAAAAACAATACCAAAACAATAACGAGTAATATCCCCACAAATCACAAATAAGATTAAAAGGTTTGAAATTTATTTTGAATTACTTGGTTATTTTTTGTGTGTACAAGAATATATCTGTTATTTTTCTTCTGATTTCTTTAGTCCTGATGCAATAAACAGTGGGGTTTACTAAAAGAGAAACAAAGCAGGATACAATTAAAACGGCATTTCTCTCAGTTAAAGTCAACACAACTCCTATTTTAGTTAGTAAAATATAGACGATCTTAGGTAGATAAAAACTGAACAGGACAATTATATGACTTAAGCAAGTGTTGATCATTTGCTTTCTGCTTGAGTTGGCCAGTTTAGTCACACTATATGCTAGAACAGCATACGTGCACAGAATAAAAGGGAAAGGTCCACACAATGTCACCATACTATATACTGTAGAAATAGCAAAATAGGGTTCAGGATCAACACAGGCAGCTCGGACCAGAGAAGAATAACTACAGAACACGTATTTGATGATAGGCTGACAGTATGGAAGAGTGTCTGCCACATATGTCAAAAAACCTATTAAAGCAAAACTTAATATCCAGGTTAGAAAAATAAGCCATAATATTCGTGAGTTTGTTACAAAGCTGTGATACCTTAAAGGAAGACTAATGGCAATAAGTCTGTCTAATGCCATTAATGTCAGAGCCATGCACTCTGTTAAATCTCCAAGATTAAAGAAATATGTCCTGGAGATGCAAGAGTAGTATCCCCCGATGGCCCGCACTCGCATTACATTCGAGCCTTGGCACGCTTACATCATCGATGATGCGTTGGTCAGAAACGCTCTCGCTCAGCACAGTGGAGATTTCTTCAGTCATATCGTCATTGAAGTCATTTGATATGCAGTGACATGCAGTCACAAATTTCGCTGAACAGTAACTATGACAGTTTGCGTTCATTGAACAGGAAGAATGATTAATAAACGCATTTGAAACAATCACGTCTCTCTTTTAATTTTAGTTTTTGCCTGAACCCGATACAGAGCACTCACACTTCTCAAACGATCTGGGAAACGGGCCTGGGCACAGTTCGGATAGCATAGTGTGAGTAGGCCCTTTGCGGTCTTCCCTCGTGGAGTTTTCTTTCTATGCTTAATATACTGTTAAAATATTTTATATACGTAATTCTAAGAAGAACCTAAGTTGTTTGTTTTGCCACCTCATATTTGAAAAGAATCCGAGTTGTTAAAATAAATCCTTGTTTTCTGGATCCCTACTTGGAGTGTTTTTGTTTGGGTCCAACACAACTACTCCTTTGGCTCAGTGGTTCACCAGTCTCCACACCAGAGACACAATACTTAAATGTTTTGTATGTTTTAATGCAATTAATTGGTTTAAATGCTTATGCACACATATTAAAAGAAGTAAGTGATATTACAGTTCGGACAGAGGAACAAGACTCATGTTTATTATGATTATTGCATTTTTGCATATAAATATAGAATACACTGCATCTACAAACAAATTTGTTTAACAAGGATTTTGTCAATGCAGAGAATATTCTTCTGTTCAACATTTACATTTCAGTCAATACTGTCTTTACAAAACATTCTCCCTTTTTTCCATTGAACAAATAAATCAACATTAGCATTTCTATCTATTGGCTTAGTCTCTAACATGAGCCAAAGCTTCACAAAAACAATACCAAAACAATAACGAGTAATATCCCCACAAATCACAAATAAGATTAAAAGGTTTGAAATTTATTTTGAATTACTTGGTTATTTTTTGTGTGTACAAGAATATATCTGTTATTTTTCTTCTGATTTCTTTAGTCCTGATGCAATAAACAGTGGGGTTTACTAAAAGAGAAACAAAGCAGGATACAATTAAAACGGCATTTCTCTCAGTTAAAGTCAACACAACTCCTATTTTAGTTAGTAAAATATAGACGATCTTAGGTAGATAAAAACTGAACAGGACAATTATATGACTTAAGCAAGTGTTGATCATTTGCTTTCTGCTTGAGTTGGCCAGTTTAGTCACACTATATGCTAGAACAGCATACGTGCACAGAATAAAAGGGAAAGGTCCACACAATGTCACCATACTATATACTGTAGAAATAGCAAAATAGGGTTCAGGATCAACACAGGCAGCTCGGACCAGAGAAGAATAACTACAGAACACGTATTTGATGATAGGCTGACAGTATGGAAGAGTGTCTGCCACATATGTCAAAAAACCTATTAAAGCAAAACTTAATATCCAGGTTAGAAAAATAAGCCATAATATTCGTGAGTTTGTTACAAAGCTGTGATACCTTAAAGGAAGACTAATGGCAATAAGTCTGTCTAATGCCATTAATGTCAGAGCCATGCACTCTGTTAAATCTCCAAGATTAAAGAAATATGTCCTGGAGATGCAAGAGTAGTATGAAACCGTTTTAATCTCAGCCAGCAGCACTGAGATCATGGTTGTGCTGCAAGTCGAGGAGTACATTATGTCAACAACAGCTAGATTACAGATTAATATGTACATTGGTTTGTGTAAATGTCTGTCAGTCGAGATGATACACAGATTGATGCCATTCCCAAGTAATATGAACATGTAGGATATCAAGATGAGCGATCCAAGAAGCTTTTGGTTCTGCAGGTGATCAAATCCAGTAATTATAAAGCTGTCAACATTTTTCACAAAAGTTTCATTCACCATTTTCAATTATCAGACTTCTTACATACAGTTAGTACCCAGTTAGTATAGTTGAAAGCTGGCAACTACATCCTTAATGTACTCACATATGCACAGAAAAAAAGCTCCTGTAAAAGAAAAGGGCAGAAAGATGCAGGCAGTCTCTGTAAGGTACAGGTGATGAAAACTGTTAAGATTGAAGTACAGTTTTAACAAAAGTACAAAAAGAGTTTCATTCATTCTGAAGAATAAAGAAAGTATTTTCAAAATAACTCCCCCTTGTTATAACTTTTTACAAATAGAATAAAGCAATATAAATAAGAATTTAGTATGATACTCTCAGACACTCCTTAAATCCAGGTCAAGTGAAGTGTGTGTGAGCTATCCTGCATTTTATACGTTTATTCTGAGACAGACATGTCATTGTTTCATAGCAACCACAACAAAACATTCAACATATCTTTCTAATCAGAATATATTTTTAGTTTACATGTCTGTGAGGACTTGACCTGTCAATCTGCCAGAACAATGTGTGCAAGCTGCCAGCAAGCTGCTTTTTACATGTTATATAGCATATTGGATTGCAGCTGAATGACCTTTTCAATAGAGTAAAGTGTGACTTCAGAAAAACACACTTTCACATTTTTATCACTTTCACACTTCTCGTGTATTTGTTGGCAAACTGGCGATCCTCCGCCCATCTTTGCTCCGAAAGGACTAGACCCTTCTTGGATGCTGCTTTCGTCCAATTTATAATGGCAATCACCTGTTTCATCGTTTAACAATTCTTAAAGATTGATTGATTCCAAGCCCTAAATTGCTCCTGTCCCAACTTTTTTGAATTGTGTTGCAAGAACCAAAACTGCAACGTTTAATTTGGGTAAATATTAAAAAATAAAATTAGAAGGAACACATTAAATAATGTTTGCTGTATTTTCTGCAATAAAATTCAAGTCAAAGTAAATTTGGAAGTCACTGCTTTCTTTTTATTTTCGTTTTCCCCAGTGGCCCAAACAAGCTGTTTTTCAAAGGTCTTATTCAGAAATATTTAGGATGTGTTTTTTGGCTTTGTTTCTGTGACTGTTTTCCCTAAAACTTACTAACCACTAGGGATGTAACGGTATCAGAATTTCACGGTACGGTAATACCTCGGAATGAATGGCACGGTACGGTATTTATTGAGTAATTTACAGGAAAACAAAACTAATGAAAAGACTCAAAAAAAGTGCCAAAAGTGTTTATTTACCTTATCACTAAACATATCAATGACATACAAATTAGCCATCTATCTGTAAGTTTCGAAACAGGAACTTTAATTTTTCAATTTTAATAACAAACTATTTAACCATATAAAAAAGTTTTAATTTAGTATTGTTGAAAACACATCACATTCAACATTTAATCACTCACTCACTTAGATAGAGATGGGTTTTTTAAGGAAAATTATCATATACCTATAATCTGATAAAAGCTGGGATCTCTGGGCATGTCCCCTGCAACAGAAAAAAGCCCTCTCATTTGGGACTGAGGTTTCTGGGACAGAGAGATATGATTTAGCCAAGCTTGACCGCAGTGGGTAACGTTGTGCATTGTCTTTCCACAACAAGCCATGAGTGAGATAGAGGTCTCTTTGCGATACAAGTCAATGTCTGCATTAATCTAACAAGTGTGCTGTGTTCTGCAGTCCCCATGACTGTTTTTAGTCATATTCCCCGACTTATATTTCACCACAGTCTGGCAGTGCCTGCATACTGTTTTTTTCTTTGTCTGTCACCTTTTCTCCTTTTTCGTATCTTTTTAGAAAGAAAACGAAAAACTTCCACACATCCGATTTAAAACCCGCTTTAGGTTCACACACTCCATTTCCGCATTACTGGATCTGTAGCGACAACAGACCGCAAAGAATGATGGCCACGCCTAGGCTGATGGGAAATGTAGTTCCCGCTACCTCCCGTTCGCTTCATTCGCCTAAGCAAACTTTTCTCAGAAATATAGTTTTATTGAGTCATGCGCCTACGGTAATATTGAAAAAAACTACTATTGCGGTATGACGGTATTTACAATATTGTTACATCCCTACTAACCACACAATCTTTATTTTTTTTTTATGCATAAAGCATATACATCTATCTTTGTTGCATATCATTGTAGCCCAGTTTCTGCTATATGAAGTAAAATTATAGGACAGCCAAGGCTATGTCAGAGCATATCCAAAGACCACAAAATCATGTTTTAGACCCTAGAGGGATAACTAATTACACTAATCAGTCAGAATTCTAAGTTAGACAATATGAACATCTGTAATCAAGAGGTCAGCTTGAGAACAGGGAAATTATTTGTTTTGATCAGTTGACCAGGGTGCCTTCAGCTCTGTTTGCTATAGAGCTCAGATAAGAGTTTTTTCTGTCTTGCTACCTACTTTTTAAAAATAAATTCTTTTTTTCTGGATCCCTACTTGGAGTGTTTTTGTTTGGGTCCAACACAACTGCCTCTGTGGCTCAGTGGTTCACTCACCAGTCTCCACACTAGAGACTCGTGTTCAAGACCCATCCGTGACAGAAAAACCAAGTCAGACAAGGACTCAGAGACACTCAGTGCCAATGATCTGTAAGCGGTGATTGCCAGTCATGAAATTTCATTCGATTAGGAGGTCCTTAATCATCAAGAGGACTTGATGACAAAACAGCTCCTTGCTACTGTCATGTTCTCCATTCGGCAGCTCTTTGAAAGTCTCCCTGTTGCTTCTCATTCTGCTTCTGCACAACCTATGAGTACCAACAGCCCTCTCAAAGCTCCAGTAACTACTGCAGAGCCCTGACTTACACCCTCCACCCCCAAACTATTCTCTGGCGATATTAGTTCCTGTCCGGGGTTTCTCACCCAGTGCTCTCTCACTTTTGAGCTTTATCCTTCAAGATTTCCCACTGACTGCTTAAACATTGCTTATATTATTACCCTGCTGACTGACAAACCTTTTAAAAGACATGCAGCTAGGTTGTTCCAGACTCTATCCCAGTGAAAGGGAATGACGCATGAGGGAGCAACAATGCCTTTACTGTGGTACCCGTGGTCACTTTTGGTCCACTTGTCTGGAACTGTTGGAAATGATGGTCCCCACCTAGCTACAGGAGGACGGTGATGGGGAAAATAAAAGCTCCTCCTGCCAACACCATTTTAGTACTTCAAGCCACTATGTCCTGTGAGAGCCACCATGATCGATTTAGGTGCCGCAGGTAATTTCATAGATCTGTCCTTGGCCAAGGACCTTAAGATTCCTACCCACCTTCTCCCTCATCCCCATGCAGTAACTGCATTGGATGGTATACCCCAAGAACCATTCCAGGTTCCCTTCTAGGTTGGAGTCCCTCTTTCCACTTCACCTGTTTAACTCAGATCCCCTCATCCCGAACCTTAGGAGTCTGTAGACCTATCTTAAGTTCCCACTGTCTATCATCAATTTAAGGCAGTGTTCATTAAGTCCTGAGCTACCTCTTTGCCACATCAACACCTATACAATTGTGCAATTGACCTTTACCCTGGTTCCTGTCCTCCCAGAGGCAGTCTTCTCCTTATCTCCCACTGAACAGGCTGTTATGAATGCTTTCATCAAGGAGTCCCTGGCAACTGGCATCATCCAAGCCTCCACTTCCCCTGCTGGTGTTGGCTTCTTTTTTTGTGGGGAAGGAGAATGGGGGGAACTTAGCGCATGTATCGATTACTGAGGTCTCAACAAGATAAGAGTTCGGAATCGAAATCCCCTGCCTCTTATGGCTACTGCTTTTGAGCTGCTGCAAAGAGCTTAAATTTTTTCTAAGGTGGACTTTTGCAAGGCCTACCATCTGGAGCGATACAGCAAAAAGATGAATGGAAGACGGCCTAAAACCCCCTCCCACAGGCCACTATGAATATTGGGTGCCCAATGCCCCTGCTGTGTTCTAGGCACTTACTAACCATGTCCTCCGAAACATGTAAAATGTATTTGTATCTGTTTTACTGGATGATATACTGATATTTTCCAAGTCAGTGGAGGAGCACGAGGGGCATGTCGACAGGGTTCTCCAAAGACTGCTTGAAAATAATCTTTTTGTCAAGCCAGACAAATGTGAGTTTCATGTAGCTCAGACTAAGTTTCTTGGTTACATTGTCATCCCTGGTCACCTGGAAATGGACCATAGTAAGATTCAGGCTGTTCTCAACTGCCCTATTCCAACCACAGTTAAAGCGGTGCATTGGTTTGTGGGATTTGCAAACTTTTACAGGAAGTTTATCAGAAATTTTAGCATGGTGATGGCTACCTTGACAGTGCAGACAAAGAGAGAAGAAGTCAAGATTGACTGGTATCCTGAAGCAGCAGATGGCTTCCAGGATCTTAAGTATCGATTCACCTCAGCTCATCTCTAATCCGGAAAGACCCTGTGTGGTGGAGGTGGATGCCTCAGAAGTAGGTGTAGAAGCAATCTTATCACAGAGGAATGAAGATGGAAGACTACACTCCTGTGTTTTTATGTCATGTCACCTGTTTGATGCTAAGCGCAACTACCATGTGGGCGATCGAGAGCTGCTCGCTGTAAAATTCGCCTTGGAAGAGTGGTGTCATTGGCTTGAGGGTGCTCAACATCCTTTTCAGGTTCTTGCAGACCATAAGATCCTGGAATATTTCCAGCAGGCCAAACAACTGAACCTTCTGCAGGCTGGATGTTGTTTATTAACAGATTTTAGTTAATCCTGACTTCCAAGAATCTCAAGACAGACACCTTGTCCAGTGCCTGCTCTCCAGAGATGTTTCTTCCACTATTTCTAGTTCAAGGATTGTTGCTCTCCTTTGATGGGATCTGGAAAAATTAGTCCGTAAGGCCCAAACCAAGCAACCTGATCCAGGCAGTGGACCATTGGGTGCTCTGTATGTCCCCTGATCAGCACGAGCCCATGTCTTGCAGTGAGGTCGTGAGTCCCCATTGACCTGCTACCCAGTAAGCATCCACACTCTAGAATTTCCCTAACGTTGCCTTTAGTGGCCTTTTATGAAGGAATATGTTAAAGGTTATGTGGAGGCCTGCCAAGTATGTTGCCAGGGAAAATCATCACGCAGCTACCTAAGGGACTGCTCCATCCTCCACAGGCCCTGGTCACACCTCTCCCTGGACTTCATTATGAGACTTCCACCCTCCCAGGGCAACAATGTCATATGGGTGGTGGTGGACCGATTCACCTGCTCAAGTTACTATTAGCCAAGGAGACCGCTGAGCTCACAATGAGCCATGTTTTCAGAGTATTTGGCATTCCCTAGGATTGTGTATCTGACCGAGGCCCACAATTTTTGTCCAGGTTCAGGGGGGCTTTTTTGCTAACTCTTTGGGGCCACTACCAGCCTACCATTTAGGTTCCATTCGACCCAACGGTGAGACAGAAGAAGTTAACCAAGATCTGGAAACCACTCTTCGATGAATGGCAGTCAACAACTCCATCACTTGGTCACCAATTTACTCAAATCAGATTTAGGCCCTGGTCATATGTGAAAATTTATCCGATATGAATTGGATCTGTGTTCTCCTGTCTGCAGTGTAAGTAAGTAGATCGGATTTCCACCTGTCAATGCGAGTCATGCGTCATTAAAAACCATAGCGAATTACGTCAAGTCTGACGCTTTCACTTCAGAACAGACTTCAGCAGAGTCCCAAACCTTAAATCTCATACACGAGGACTTTAACAGCTTTTATATTGTCATATAGGACAGATATTTAAGCATGTAATGAGAGGGAAAGAGCGTAATGTCCGCCACGCAACCAATATAAACTAATATAAAACTTGCATAGATCCCGTGCATAAATCACACCATGGACATTACATTAAGATGCCTAAAAGTTTTAAGAAAGCCAATATATCAAAAGAAGATAGACAAATGAGAACCTTTCTGTCATAAACTATAGTAAAATAGCTTGTCTGCTTGCTGCCTTATTGTTTCTTTGGGCGTACTCTCACTATGTACAGTTGCCTTAAACCGGGCCAAAGCACGCTTGTCCCCCCTCCCGTCTCCCCCGATGGCCCGCACTCACATTACATTTGGGCCTTGGCACACTTACATCATCGATGATGCACTGGTCAGAAACGCTCTCGCTCAGCACAGTGGAGATTTCTTCAGTTATATCGTCATTGAAGTCATTTGAAATGCAGTGACACAGTGACACATATTTTGCTGAACAGATCAGCCACTTTTGATGCTCATAAAAAAATCAAAGTCCTAGTGCTGAAGATGCGTCACTTTCGTGCAGTGAGAGGTTTGCGTCTTTAATTAACTATGACAGTTTGCGTGCATTGAACAGTAAGAATGATTAATAAACAAATTTGAAACAATCACATCTCGCTTTCAGTTTTAGTTTTTGCCTGAGCCAGATTAAGAGCACTCACACTTCTTAAAAACGATCTGGGAAACAGGCCTGGGCATAGTTCGGATAGCATAGTGTGAGTAGGCCCTTTGTTTTCCTCCCTTGTGGAGTTTTCTTTGTATGCATAATATACTGTTAAAATATTTTTTATTCTTAATTCTGAGAAGAATCTAAGTTGTCTGTTTTGCCACCTCATATTTGAGAAGAATCTAAGTTGAGTTGTTAAAATAAATCCTTGTTTTCTGGATCTCTACTTGTAGTGTTTTCGTTTGGGTCCAACACAACTACCCCTTTGGCTCAGTGGTTCACCAGTCTCCACACCAGAGACACAATACTTAAATGTTTTGTATGTTTTTAATGTAATTGAAAGGTTTAAATGCTTATGCACACATACTGAAATACATAACTGATATTACAGTTGGGACTGAGGAACAAGACTCATTTTTATTATGATTATTGCATTTTTGCATATAAATAGGGAATACACTGCATCTACAAACAAATTTGTTTAACAAGAATTTTGTCAATGCAGAGAATATTCTTCTGTTCAAGATTTACATTTTAGTCAATACTGTCTTTACAAAACATTCCCCCTTTCCCCATTAAACAAATAAATCAACATTAGCATTTCTATCTATTGGCTTAGTCTCTATCATGAGCCAAAGCTTCACAAAAACAATACCAAAACAATAACGAGTAATATCCCCACAAATCACATATAAGATTAAAAGGTTTGAAATTTATTTTGAATTACTTGGTTATTTTTTGTGTGTACAAGAATATATCTGTTATTCTTTTTCTGATTCCTTTAGTCCTGATGCAATAAACAGTGGGGTTTACTAAAAGAGAAACAAAGCAGGATACAATCAAAACAGCATTTCGCTCTGTTAAAGTCAACACAAGTCCTATTCTAGTTAGTAAAATATAGACGATCTTAGGTAGATAAAAACTGAACAGGACAATTATATGACTCAAGCAAGTGTTGATCATTTGCTTTCTGCTTGAGTTGGCCAGTTTAGTCACACTATATGCTAGAACAGCATACGTGCACAGAATAAAAGGGAAAAGTCCACACAATGTCACCATACTATATACTGTAGAAATGGCAAAATAGGGTTCAGGATCAACACAGGCAGCTCTGACCAGAGAAGAATAACTACAGAACACGTATTTGATGATAGGCTGACAGTATGGAAGAGTGTCTGCCACATATGTCAAAAAACCTATTACAGCAAAACTGAAGATCCAGGTGAGAAAAATAAGCCATAATATTCGTGAGTTTGTTACAAAGCTGTGATACCTTAAAGGAAGATTAATCGCAATAAGTCTGTCTATTGCCATTAATGTCAGAGCCATGCACTCTGTTAAATCTCCAAGATTAAAGAAATATGTCCTGGAGATGCAAGAGTAGTATGAAACCGTTTTAATCTCAGCCAGCAGCACTGAGATCATGGTTGTGCTGCAGGTCGAGGAGTACATTATGTCAACAACAGCTAGATTACAGATTAATATGTACATTGGTTTGTGTAAATGTCTGTCAGTCGAGATGATACACAGATTGATGCCATTCCCAAGTAATATGAACATGTAGGATATCAAGATGAGCGATCCAAGAAGCTTTTGGTTCTGCAGGTGATCAAATCCAGTAATTATAAAGCTGTCAACATTTTTCACAAAAGTTTCATTTGCCATTTTCAATTATCAGACTTCTTACATACAGTTAGTACCCAGTTAGTATAGTTGAAAGCTGGCAACTACATCCTCAATGTACTCACATATGCACAGAAAAAAAGCTCCTGTAAAAGAAAAGGGCAGAAAGATGCAGGCAGTCTCTGTAAGGTACAGGTGATGAAAACTGTAAAGATTAAGGTAAAGTTTTAACAAAAGTATAAAAAGAGTTTCATTCATTCTGAAGAATAAAGTATTTTCAAAATAATTCCCCCTTGTTTTAACTTTTTAAATAAAGCAACATAAATGAGAATTTAATATGTGAATCTCCCTAACGCTCCTTCAATCCAGGTCAAGTGAAGTGTGTGTGAGCGTTCCTGCATTTTATACGTTTATTTTCCGAGACAGGCAACGTCATTGTTTCATAGCAACCAAAACAAAACATAGAACGTATCTTTCCAATTAGTATATATTTTTAATTTACATGTTTGTGAGGACTTGTCAATCTGCCAGGACAATGTTTGCAAGCTACAAGCAAGTAACTTTTAACATATCATATAGCATATTGTAGCTGAACTGTGACAATGACTTCACACAAGAGTCCACTTACTAATTAATCATTAGCTGAGTAGTTTAGATACCAGTATGTGAATGTGTTAATAGAAACGGTATTACCGTATAATTACTGAAATAAAACCGATTTAGTTTTGTGTTTATCGTTATCATTCATTTTAATTATGAATGTTCACACACACAACCTACAAACAGTTTTGATTAACAGGTATTTGGTAAAAGGATGTTTTTCTATTTAATACCAAATCCTCATATTTTTTGCCAATAATGTTAAAGTAAATATCCTTATTAATTATTTACTTTATTTGAAAACAAATAGGCGGGTTATTCCGCTGTGGCGACCCCTAATTAAAAAAGGGACTATGCTGAGAACAAAATAAATGAATGAAAACAAATAAACAATAACAATGCTGCATACAAATTCACCTCTTTGTACTATACGTCCTAAAAGTATGCACTTTTTTGTGAGGAAAAAGAACATACTTTGACTGTAACAGAAAAGTATACATGCTATGGGACAAACTATTTCCTTATTAACCAAGCATTGTGTTGCTTAGTTGCGAGCCCCATCAATCTCCCTCACATCATCTACATTTCTTTCTAATTAATTTCCTAAGATACTGGACATGATACAGCAGGTTAATCTGCCATCTGCGAGTGATTTAGGTATAGGAAACATGACTTAGGTATTTTTCAGTAGGTTAATATTGAAGAGTCATTCATACATCTTTACTAAAGCCTCTTTACTTGATTTAACAATTTTGGTACAGTTTCTCTCTCAAATGTTGACAGGTATGCATACACTTTTAATTTCTACCAGAAACAGTAGATCACTAGGGAACTTTACACCGTAAAAATTGCTGGTTTCCACGCAATTGTTTTGTGTTGAGACAACATGAAGGAATTAGGTTAACTTGTTAGTTTTTACAAAATTAGGTAGATTGAACATTAATCAATTAACTTGTTGCAAAAAATCTGTTTAAATTTTTTTAGTTGTGCTAAATCACATCATGCAAAAGATATAGGGCTCTATTTTGACGGTCCATGCGCAGAGCGCAAAACGCAGGGCGCAAACGCTTTCAGGGCGTGTCAGAACGCATTTTTGCTAATTTAAGGACTGGAAAATCTGCTTTGCGCCATGGCGCATAGTCTAAAAGGGTTGAGTTATTTTCTTAATGAGTTATAGGTGTGTTTTGAGAATAAACCAATTAGAGTCTCATCTCCCATTACCTTTAAGAGCCAGCTGTGTCGCGCCATAAGCTCATTCGCTATTTACAGGACGTAAAGTAAGTCTAAGTGGAGAAAATTTGCATTTCACAAGCAAACAGTTAACAGTTTTTTTAACAGAAAACTGTTAAACAGAGCATCTACTGCATGAGAATGAGAGATAATGGAACTACTTTCACTTCCTTTTTAGACCAGAACGCCTATGGGCGCACACGAGCGCTAATGCATTTGCTATTTAAACGCCTCAAAACGACTTTTGTGCCAAGCTGAAACTAGCAAAAGACTATTGCGCCGCGCGCCACATTGCGCTGGGTGTATGATAGGGCTCATACAGCCACAATTTAAAGAGTCTGTTTGACTGTTTCTCTGCTTTAAAATGCAGCATTCTGTATAATTGGAAAGTATTTCCACTTGGCGACCATCTTTGAAACGCCTCTGTTTGAATGGATAAACATCAAATTCTCCCAAAATGCTAGCCAAACTCATTATTAAATTTCTTATTAGGAAACAACAATAAGATTATCCAACTACTGTCTTTTTGGTTTCATTTCTAAATGTTTGAGTCACACAAAATCTGCAGAAATTCACATCTGGTGCCAGCCCCTCCTCTGGAGAATCGTCAGTCTATATTGATCGCTCATTGGCTTCTGTACTAGAAGGCAGGGCTTTATTCGCCATATTGACAGTTAAACTTTTCCCCAGTCAAGACTGGGCACATGTCTTGTGTATTCTATAGTCTTTGGTAATTCAGATGGATCTGATAGTTTTGTGGTCTGTGTCTGATTTTATATTAGTTGGTATAATTTTCCTGTTTGAATGGCCAAGAATGACTATTTTTGTTTTTCTGTACAAAATTGTGAAAAATCTATGAAAGTTTTTTAAAACATCATCCTAACTAAATTAACCAGTAAACAAACTATCAAAATATCTATACCTTTAAGGATACAAATATAGATAATTCGATAATAAAATAAACTGTTTGCTTTAATTTTTAGCTATGTTTTATTTTTGATCATTTGTCACACAATTCCTCTTTACAAGATACATGCTTCTGTAGTAGTTATTATTTGAATGACTTGAGTTTAGTAATGAGTTCACTAAAGTATGGAGGCAGTTTTGTTGATTGTTAAGAGTGAACCGGCGGATGGGAAGCAAAAGTGACACAGAAGCTGCTGATGAAGGTGAAATGTGATTTAATTGGCAAAAAGTAAAAAAGAAAATCCAGCATAAAGATGAAAGTGACAAAATAACAATAAAGAAAGATAAACTACACAATATTTGCAAGGTATTTACAGGCCTGTTCAGCTAAATCAAAAGATCTGATTAAAATCTGCCAAAACACACTTTCTCCAATATCTCCTGTTACAACCTCCTGGCTCAAGAATAAAGTAACAAAACCAAATAAAGGTCCAAACCAGAAAAATATAATCAATTTAAGTATGTTTAATCAAATATTAATTGAAATGATACATAAAATTATAAAAAAAAAAAAGAAACAAAAACTCCAAAGCTGAAGAGGAAAGAATGAATGCCTCCATCTAGTGGATACTGGTTAATATTCGACAAGATCACTAGCGCTGTAACAGTTTTTGGGAACCATTTTATATCATTAGGCCTTACTAATGATGGATTATCCCATATTAGAGTTTGGTATTGTAACATGTAGACAAATATATATATATAAAGAACAATAAACAAAATAATAATAAATGAAAGTAAATGTGTATATAAAACTCAAAATAAAACAACCAATTTGAATAACAATTTTTAAACTTTGCACGTCAATCAATTCTTGCTCTGCAGTCCAAAGACACATTTCAAAATGATTTGCACAATAAAACACCCAACACAAATTAACGGACTCATGCTGAGTTAACAAGATTACTGAAATCTCTCCATTAACATAACAAACTTCACCTTAAAGTGAATATTTTCTTGGTTTATGTCACAGCATTTTGCATTATGTTTGTTTAAAGTGGCCTGCATGATGTTGAGATGAGCATTAATAATGTTATGAAATAATGCTCAATATTCTGATTAAGCAAGCAGAATCAAGTATTCTAGTATGTCATGTATTATAAATATATCTGTGCATATTAATTTAAAGACCTAAATAGAGTATCCAAGCAGCGAGTAACTGTTTACATGTATTTTGTATAGCAGGTTGGAGGCTCAATGAAACTAATGAGCAATAATACTTGTACCTTACACAAGGGTCTTCTAACTGATTCATTACCCTCCAGAGTGGTTTAGACCCCTGTGAACAGACGTTTTAATAAAAATAGCAATTGATTTACATTTGGGACTGAGGGACATCAAACTTTGTTTAGATTATGGCTATTATTTAACTTTTACGTATAAAAATTAATTTATAAACAATTTTGTTTAAAAGGTAGGTTTTTATTTGTTTTTTTGTGTTCAACATTACATTTAATATTTACAACAGGCACAATACTGTCATTTAAAAGCTGATATTTCCTCTATTATTACTGAAAACAGTAAATTAATAATCTGCATTTCAATGCTTTGGTTTACAGTTTCTAATGTGAGAAAAAATTGTCCCAAAAGCAATCGAAACAAGGTAAACTAAGATGATGAACCTTTTGAAATTGACTTAAGGATTTGGTACTGTTTTCCTATGCAAAAATACATTTGATAATCGTTTCCTGATTTCTTTAGTCCTTATGCAATAAACAGTGGGGTTTATTAAAGGTGGAACAAGAGAAGCTGTAATCAGAATTGCATTTCGCTCTGTTAAAGTCAACACAACTCCTATTCGAGTGAGTAAGGTAGAGACAAGCTTTGGAGCATAAAAACTGGAGAGAACAATTATATGACTCAAGCAAGTGTTGATCAATTGCTTTTTGTTTGAATTGTTGGCCAGTTTAGTCACACTATATGCCAGAACAGCATATGTGCACAATATAAAAGGGAACTGTCCACACAATAGCCACATATTTAACATCGCAGATATAAAAAAATATGGCTCAGGATCAACACAAGCAGCTCTGATCATGGAAGCATACTCACAAAACACATATTTGATGATTGGCTGACAGTATGGGACATTGTCCGAAACTGATATTACGTAACCTATAACAGCAAAACCAGCGAGCCAGGTCAGAAAAATAAGCAGAAAGACTCGTGAATTTGTGACAATGCTGTGGTATCTTAATGGAAGCCTAATAGCAATAAGTCTGTCTATTGCCATTAATGTCAGAGCCATGCACTCTGTGAAACCACCAACATGATAGAAGTATGTCCTGGAGATGCAAGAGTAGAATGAAACAGTTTTAATCTCAGCCAGCAGCACTGAGATCATGGTTGTGCTGCAGGTCGAGGAGTACATTACATCAACAACGGCTAGATTACAGATTAATATGTACATTGGTTTGTGTAAATGTCTGTCAGTCGAGATGATAAACAGATTGATGCCATTCCCAAGCAGTATGAGTATGTAGGTTATCAAGATGAGCGATCCAAGGAGCTTTTGGTTCTGCAGGTGATCAAATCCAGTAATTATAAAGCTGTCAACATTTTTCACAAAAGTTTCA